ATTGTCATGTGACATGATTAGGCTACGTCCTCTGTGCCTCAATCAGTATGAAGAACGTTTTCTATTGTCAAACACAACCCCTTTTTATAACAATTGAACTGATTTGGAATCCTCTCATTTGCATGTCTATTCAACATGTTATGACAAGCTTTCCCATGATTTTGATATTGTTGTCCATTCCAAATGATTTTTCAGTCTACCTTTTTATAGTTAGATCTTCGTTATTATTCTAAATATATATAATTTTGCAAAACACTAAAGTTAAACAGTTACAATTTGTTTACAACGGTCGAGATAACGACTAATATTTAATCTAACGCAGTTGCATATTTTTTAAGTAAAGATAAATATGTAAAAAATGCTTGCGCGTAGATATATCTATTATTTTATATTGACGACTAATTATAAATTCCTGTAAGTTCTATGTACATTATAAACTCCTAACTAAGTAGCTACATTGTCATACTTTACACACAGTTTTCACGCCCACGCGACAGGGTGACCTACTTTTCAGTTGTGGTTTCGCGCTCATTACTTGTTGTACAGATTAATATTACTCGCCCACTCATCTGAAATCATAACTTGGGTACTGAGTCTGCTCTGCACACTTCATCATGAACCACAAAGAGCCGGTGCAGAAATGTCCAGTAGGAATAGGAAAATAGGATTGATAACTATTAAGTGGGATAAAAATATCTGGCTACATGTTGCTGTAGTTGTGCTCCCGAAAGCAAAGGCAGAAGTGTGCTGGCCTTAACCCTTCTATATTATGTATTTAAATACTTAGGTAGGCCAATATGTTTGGCGTTTATACATAAAAGTATGATAAAATATTGTTTAATATCACAAAACTCTAACATCCCATAGACAATAAGGTATTAACTTTTTATTTAATTAACTTTTAACTTTTTATTTAATTGTCGTTTTCCTTAGTAGAGTAGCTAGCAAAAATATTTTTTTATCATTTATTTTATGCACTGCCTAAGTGCCTATCGCTTTGGACTGGTGACACAAAATATTTCTTTGTTATTTGTTATGAAATAGGCCATACAGGGGGCAAACGAGCAGATGGGTCACCGGATGATAAGCGACTACCAGCGCCATGCACGAGAAGCACATATTTATAAACTTTATGTTTGTGTAAATTACTTATTGTGTCGATGGCAAGAGTTTGCACCATTTTGGCCCAGTGCTTGAAATGATTTGCCAATGATTGTTGACATTACCATTCCACATGACGACAATCTCTTGAAATCTGAAAAAGATAAACAAGTTAAGTATTTGGATTTGGTCCACGAGATTGTCGACATGTGTAATGTTGATTCGGCAATCATTGTACCGATAGTTCATTGTACCGATACTCATATCGGCCCATCGATTAATTGCTAAGAGCCTCGACCAACATCTTCAGAGGCTCGCGTTAGGCAGTTGGATTAAAGGCCTGATGCAGAAAACAGTTCTTCTCGATACGAGGAGGTTTCTATCTCTGAAGTCCTAACCAACGATATATTGGTCCCTGTACCCGATACCGATGGGACAATATTTTACTTTATTTTTTTTTTAATGTAAAGCATCGATGCTTTGCAATGCACAATGATATCTCCACAGAACTACATAAAAGCATGATTTGAGTGATTCATCATTGAACCAACATACTGTAATTGGTGTACAATAAAGCATATTTTATTCCGCTTGTCCTCAGCTTGTACATGAGAGTTTGGTCACTGCCTCGGTGGTGTAGTGGTATGTGACTGCTGTTTTGAGGTCTCGGGTTCGATTACCGGATCAGACCAAATGTTTGCAAGATCTGCAAATATTTGTTTTAGAGTTTGGGTGTTTTCTTTGTATAATATGTATGTATTTACAAAAAAAAAGTATAAAAGTATTGTAACAGTACAAGCTCTGCTTAGTTTGAAACTGGATGGCGTTGTGTTAGATGTCCAAAATATTATAAAAGTTATGGTACACGAAATTCGTATCACTTGTATGCAGACGAGCTGCAGATCCATTCACATGTAAGAGTATATAATTTGGACGAAGCTGTAAATAGTATTAATCAAGACTTAGAGACCATAAAAAACTGGTAGGGCAGGTTCGGTTTGACGGTGAACCCATCAAAATGCCAAGCGATCATCATAGGGAGTCCTAGAATGACAAGCAAATTGATCCTGATAATATTACTTGCATCATCTTTCATGACGACGTTATGCCTGTTATTACATCGGTCAAGGATCTCAATCTGCACATCGATCGATCGATCTGAACTGGCAAACGCAGGTGACTAGTGTCAGTCAGAGGGTTACGAATATTTTACGAGGATTCTATCGCCTAAAAAATTTCCTACCAATAAAAACAAATACGATGATTATGCAGAGTTTAATTTTGCCACTTTTCAACTATGTTTATGTGTGTTACCTCGACTTGAATGCAGATCTGCTCAATAAATTAGAAAGACTTCTCAACAATTGCATTCGATTTATTTTCAACCTGCGAAAGTACGATCACATATCCGATTACCGTACGCAACTGTCATGGTTACCTATAAGACAGCGCCGCAGTTCGAGGGCTCTAACTGTGTTACACTCTCTTCTCCACTCACCTAACTCACCTACCTACTTAAAATCCCACTTCCAATTTCTTCAAATTCCAACAATCTTCTCCTTCTTTGTCCTTCACATAATTCCAGTATGGTCGATTCTTCCTTCCCTGTTCAAGCTGTAACTCTTTGGAACACACTCCAACTAGAAATCAGGATGTCCACTCACCGATACACTTTCAAGCTTCAAGTACGGAAGCTCTATAGAGACTTGTTGACGAAGTCATCAGAATAACACCTTAAGAGTATATTTATTATCTGCGTATTATATATATTTTGACATTTATATGTATAAACTATATGTATGTATACCTAGTACTTATATATCTGTAGGATTTTTTCTTTTTTGCCATTGTAACATGGCTTAATTCAGTCTCATCTTTACCTGTCCCAAATATACACCTGACACACACAGCTTTGCAACACCCAAAGGTTTGACTGGACGAAAATACCTGAGGCATTAAGTCCGCCTTATGCAATATGTTTGCAAGAAGACTCAATAAATAAATAAATTGTTGGAGCTACAACAATTTCAGTCAGTACCTAATAGGTAAGTAACATATCGATGTCGCTTAACTCGCAACCTAAATGTTAGAATGTACTTAGTGTGTAAACATAACTTATGAGTTATGCTAATCATAAAATTTCTAAAGCCATTTCAGAGTGCAAAATTACATAAAACTTAAAGGAAAAGTCTGCGACGTAAGGATAGACCTTAAGAATTCTCGTCTTTTCGTCGTTATCTTTATTACCAAGTCTGTGGTAATATGACTTTTATGTAAGTCTTTATTGTCAGTGGTGCATTTATAGGTGTTTTATTATCCATTTCTAGTGTCACAATGTGCACAGTGCTCTTAAAGTAAGCAATCTCACCAGGTATCACCGCATTGTGTTTACGGGTCTGTTTCAATGATAATCAAATTCCAAAAATATTTACCGGTTAGTCAAAAACCACTAAAATTACAACAACGACCTTATAAACCTTTTGTTTATTACATTTTTTATTTTCTTGTGCCAACTTCTTAATGTTACTTTAAAAAAGTTTAATCTAGTAATAAATAACTCATTTCATTTTTTCTTCTTAGAGTACCCAAAGTAGGAGTACAAATTGTTTGTCGCCATATTTTATAGCAGCACAAAATTTATTTAATTATTTAAGAAGTAAACAACAACCTACATACTAGTAAACATAGACAACGAACAAAAAAAACCATTAAAAACGGTATCACTGCAATATTGTTTCCCTATGGAACAGTTATAGCTATAGATGTATCAATCAATCAATATTTTTTATCGTAAAACCGTTAACAACATTTAACCAATGAATATGATCAAAGCCTATACCTACTTTTTCGGCAAAATATAATGCCCAAAAAAAATACAAAAACCCTCTAATAAAGTTTATTTTCTTTTGTAAAACAAATAAGCATACTCAATATGATAACACACTCGTATTAAGACTGCAAATAGCTCGTAAGTACATTAAATTCGTAAGTGTTGGGGTCCACCTAAGATATAGAATTTAAAACTAATTCTTGAAGTGAGTGTGACCACTGGCTATTTGGAGTACATTATATTAAAATAAATACACAGTGCCGGATTCAGCCAGCACGGAGGTCTGTAGCAAAGTCTATCATGGAGCCATGGACGTATAAAAAAAGTCGGACAGTCTGGCTAACAAAAAACTGTCACTCATGGTCGGCCAGCTCACTGTACGTACAGGCTGGTACGCACACTTAACTTAACCTGCCGCCATTACGGTGCCTCAGTTTTGCGTTCGCGAGAGTTCCGTCCGACTTTTTTTATACGTCCATGCATGAGGCCCTTTAATTGTTTTTATCTAGTTTATGGTTTTGATCATCATCATAATCACCAGCCTATAATATTCCACTACTGGACATGGGCCTCTCCTTAGAAAGGTTATGGCCTACTGTATCACGCTGGCTAGACGGGTTGGTATAGGGTTTGTCTCAAGTTTTCCTTCACTTTGCAGTGCTGTTGTCCTGCGCAGTTTGCTCCCTTAGTCGGCTCTTATGACACCCGACACCCACGGAATGAATAGGGGTCGTGACACTCCGTATTCTCAATCAATCCTGTTTCTTGGGCGCTGTTGTCTAAAATTTTCTACTCTAATTAACAAACAAAGTGGCACATTTCAATTTAACATTTTTTATTATAGGTATAGTCGTATGCTATATATAGGTATATAACAAACGATAATATATTTTTTTAACGAAAGTCAAATGATATTCACATAAATTTAGTGGTTGTTGTATACAATAATAAATAACTGATTGCATGGGAATGTATTACCAGATAACAAAATGCACAGTTGAAAGTAACACAACCTTGAAAAAAAAACAAGTAAATTTTTAAATTAAATTGTTTATATTTGGCACTAAAATTATACGTCAGATTTAAATATATTTTCCTTGAAATATTTTAGTTCCTCTATACTTTCAAGGATATCATCTATGGACCTATGCTTAAATTTCTTCTCAGGCATACTTGAGAACTCCTTCTGATGCCATCGTCTTGCAAGCTCCTTAATAGTGCTGACATCTATAACTCTGTAGTGTAAATATTCATTTAATGATGGCATATACTTCATTATAAACAAACGATCCATGTATACACTGTTACCGCCCAATGGACACTTTTTTTCAGGTGCATGTGACTTCACAAATTCTAATACTTGATATTCAGCATCTTTCAATGTGATGTTCGATTTGCGGCTAGCCTCCGTCAATCCGCTCTGGAATTATAATAGAGATTTAACAAGTTGTGGTAACAGAGGTATCGTCATCGTGATGTCAATTATCGTCAACCTAAAGCTGGTGTGTCAGTTACTCACAGATCTCCGGATATCCAAATATTAAAAAGTTTAAGATCTAAATTGATTATACCTCATTTGAATAAATAAATAATGAAATTACCTACCCTTTTCACTATCTTTTAAATATTACAAAATTTTGAATGTTTAAAACTACTTATACCAAAATTCTGTGATTCTTGATTTCTATGTCACCAAAAGTGATGATGATAAAATCAAACTAAAAAATATTGATTGAATATTCTTAATGAAGTATCATTCATATAGAACAAAGAAATGATTTTACAACCATTAATTAGGTATTCAGGAATGGCAATACATAGCAGAAAAAGTAGCTTAGAACATGATGCACACGTACAATGCATCGTCACATAACACAGCTACAGAAACTCAAAAACTCTTAAAAATTTTAACAATTACTTTTGATAATCTTAATTGGTGCAAATATTTCAGTATACCTTTAAATAAGGCTTATGAATGTTATAAAAACTTTACTTGATAACAATTTCAGTGTAGCACACTATATGCGTTAACAATTTAATTATCTTTTTATGTGAATATTGAGTTTTGGAGTATATATTTTAAGTAAGAAGTATTTCTTTATTTAAAATACTAAACAGTAATGAACTTTAAAACAGATTTTTATTTATCCACTAGATCAGGTTCAAACTTATGCTATGTGAAGAAGGGCCAAGTACTGCAACAATGAACTGTTTTATCTTTTCTGAATTGTGCATGTATTATGCAAAATTTAGCTGCTAACCGCAATTCACAAATTAATTAAAATAAAATACACATACATATTTAATATATGATTAGTGACGAACAATTTATACCTCACCATGTTGAGCTATACACCATTCATTCATATTCTTAAGAATGTCTTCAGGTTGATGTATAACTAAATTAGGGCCTTTGGCAACTAAATTTAAGTTTGCATCAGTCACCACACAAGCTATTTCTAAGATATGGTCACGGTTGATGTCCAGCCCAGTCATCTCAAGGTCCACCCATACGATTCTCTTGGCCATTTTGTTTTGGTCTGCCAAATTCATTTTAGAAGCTAACTTGATTCCTGTAACAATTTTAGTGTTTAACAATACTCTTATGTTCATTTAAAATAATATATGTATATAGAAATTATAAAAGTCAATCAGTCATTTATTCATTTAGATCAATTAGTATCTAGACTGGCCTGTTGGTCTAATGGGTGGGTTCTATTGCCAACCAGAACAAAAAAATTATTTGATGGACACAATCATTTGTTCTGTATCTGACAGGAAAAATGTAACAGAAACAGTTCATATTGACTTGTTAATACTTACGATTTGAGAGATGGCGACTGCATAAGATTGGTTTCAAAATACCTATACTTGGTTTTAAATACTGTATGATATTCATTTTTTTAAACTAAAAACTAGAGCCAAATAGTAATGCAGTAGAACCAATATATGAAAAAGTCAAAGTGAGTTTTTTTTTTGGTTTAATGATGATATTGGTAAGACAACTCTTCGGCAAGTTGAAATACCTAGAAAAAAAAACAACATTGAAAACCAGCAAAGGGGAGCTTCTACAAAACAATAGCTATCTGATGTAAACATCTGTATTTTGATACAATGTGTAACTGACATATCAATATACAGAAGGAATCAGAAAGATCAGTAAGTCTTTTTATGTAAATATAGTAAATATCATTTAATGGGCAAAGATTGTGTAACATTCTATAAAATTTAACATCTACCTAGGGAACATTTAAAGCTAAATCCTCCAACTAAATCCCTCTATAACCTGCTTAAAGACCTTGGATTGCCAATAGCTTCAGTAAGCTCTTTCCTTTAACGACTATCCAAACCAGCTAGGCTCGTTTCAAATATGGTTAGGTAGAGGAGGTAACACAGCAGACAGATGAGGTGAGTGATGAGGCGTATCAAGGAGTACTCCCTAAACCTATTCCTGGGTCGCAATTCCCATGTCGAAGTTGCATGTGTTGCCATGATCTATCACGTGATGGACCTAGCACCAGTACAGTAAATTCATGGAACGCTTAGAAATAGGTCTTTTGGATAGATAACACATAATTTTAGAGCGACCAGACCAGCCTGGGCCACCTGATGTTAAGTGACTACCACTACCCATTAAAACACCTTAAAAGATACAAGTATGTTGCTATCCTTTGCATGTTGTTTTGTCTTGTGTTAGTTGGTCAAGTTTCAAAACTGAGCATTTTAATCTTCAAAAATTGGGAGGACCTCCTCTCAAGATATTGATCTGTTGCTGAATGATGTCATGTTCTACTGGGACTACTCTTACTATTTGAGAGACTTGCCATATAGATAGGTTAAATGTTTTCAGAGTCTAGGCATAATATAGTTACATCTAATATCCTTAAATTACTCCTATTAAATGTTTCACTCCTGGATATAACGCGATTCGTCAAGTCATAAACATTTGTTCCGTTGTTTTGAGCTAATCAACTTTGTAAGAAATTAAGAATGTCTGCTATAAAATAACATAAATAGTATACTCACTTAATATTTTATAATATTTCGGATGATTTAGATAATAATATATTATTAATATGACTAATAAATAATGATCACAAATTAAGAGATATGTACATAGTTTTACGTTTCGTTCCACAAGCCGGAAAAAATACGGTAAACACTACACATTTTAATTTTATTATTTATAAAATTTTTTTGGACATTAAATTTAAAAAAGAAATAGATCATAATTAAAATAATTCTGTAATTTAATATAAATAAACTGTTAAGTATATGTGTGCATGAAGACTATTGAAATGAGTTCAAATTTTAATTATTTACGTAAGTTGTTACCGAATGTATGACAACTAAACGGTAGGTAAAACGAAACGTTCATTGGCGATAATTCTATATAATCTGTGGTGGGGATTTTCATAAATATTGCAAAAATACCATTGACCTAAGAATATATGGACTAGCCATACCTACAAAATTATCGTGTATACCTACAAAAAAGTTGGCGCATAAAATGGCTGCCTTTAGGGTTGTCTTATGTAAAGCAACTCGAAATGCTGATATCGATATTTGAGTGAAATATTGAATGAATTGAAGAAATATCGATAGCATTAAATAATTTTAGTTGTGGTGTTAGTTATGTATTCATGTTAGGATTTTTTAAATCTGAATCCGCCAGGATGGATTAATTTTTGAATTTAATTCTAATAAGACGTTTAAAAGTGTTTTTGGAAGTTCCTTTAAGTTTACATAAAGTTTGCTCTATATGAGTATAAGTCTGCGAAAATGTATAAAAACTTATATTCCTGGCACCACATGACTACTACAATGCACAAAATCCTAATCTTTGGGGCAACTGGGGTTTGTTCTACAATCTAGATGTAATGAATTGATTATTGCTCAGCTGAGATCCCTTAATGTCTCGTATACGACAAAAACCAGGAAAGAAATCCATACCACATACTAAAAAGCCTTAGAAATGTTGATTTCTGTTGAACCCCGCATGGCTAAAGAAAATTCCTCTGATGAGGAATCTGCCGCAGACGATTCTGACAGTGTAACTAAAGAATGATGTTCCAGTGAAGAGACGTGGGAGTCTTCATCGTACATGAAAGGTTTTTTTAGTTTTAAAATGAAGAATTATTTTTTATGTAAAATTGTTAGATAGTAGTTAGGTACGAGTCGAACTCGTGCGCCGAGGGTTCCATACCTACCCAGATTTTACGTGAATTTTAGCGAAAATTTGTGAGCACCAAAATTTATCTTAATTTTCAACTTTTTATTTTTTGGAATTATGCCTTTATTTGTGTTGTTCGTGATTCTAGGTCAACGAGAACTACAATATAGGTTTTCGACCCAAAACCTATAGGGTACTTCCGGTTGACCTTGAATTGTCAATTTTGGTTAAAAGCAATGTCTTACAGCACAAGTAAAGAGAAAATTCTGAAAAGTAAAAAAAATTAAAAATTAAAGTAAATTTTGGTACTAACAAGTTTTCGCGAAAATCGAAATTTGCCTATTATCGTTTTATCGTTTTGACTCAGGACCTTGATTTTATACACCTAATAGGGACCATAGACCTCAGTATCTGGTATAAATTTCAACTTGCTAGGTCTACCCGTTCCTGAGAAAATCGGTGGTGACACAAGGACAAGAAAGTGATTTTATAAGGGTTCCTTTCTTACTTTTTGAGGTACGGAACCCTAAAAACTGTTAAACAAAAAAAAAAACGCAACATGTGGTAATTTCTTTTTATTCAAGAATAATTTTAAACAAATTATATTTACTTCCTCATTGAAAAATACTAACAAAAATAGGTAATTGATTTCAATTATTATTTTTAAAACTACGCGTCTCCGCATGTTGAAACTGCGGCAATTTACTTGGTGTGCGTTATCCCAGCAAAATAATGTCGAAAATGGTCATTTAAACGTTATAGATAATTAGTTGCTCCCCTTCTATAATTGTTAAGCACATTTTTAAATTTGTTTCACTTAAACTTTTTTAGTTATTTCAAAAAAACATTTCCTGCGGGGGTAACGTTTGAAACGTTACCGCAGCCAGACATTTTCAAGACGAATTCAACTTTTTTAATCGTTATATCTCAAAAACGGTGGCTCTCAGAAAAAAAGTATTCAGACATTTTTTATAGATAATTATCTTATCTACAATTTGTGTCTAAACTAATTTTATGACAAAACAAAATTACAGTTTTGCTGAAAATCGCAAAAACTCCGTTTTTGTGACCCCGCGTTTACTATATGTAATGTATTGTATGTCTATAAAAAAATTGTAAGATCGGTCATATGCTCGCTCAGTCATGCTTGTACCAGAACTGTGTGTTAGAACTAATGTTAAAATCGTAAATTATTATTAATATTTTTGCAATCAAAGTTGTAAGACATTACAAGTAAAGAAAAAGGGTAAATATTAAAATATTATTTTCAAATCGAACGGTGTACGAATATTAATATATGGAGAATCATAATTCTCTCTAGAATTTTCAACGTGGATCTTGTTGACGGACGTCAAGAAACGATATTCATTGCATAAAACATGTTATAGGTACTTCAAATATCATCAAAGCATAAAGTAGAATTCTCTAAAATTCTAGAATTTGTTGTTATACGAAATGTTCAATCTATCAAATTACTCTTACATTCATTAGACAGGCTAGACCTCATTATATGAAACCTACATTGTACTCTGGACCTGTCTCTTCGCTCATGCAACATTGAAAATTTATTTTTAGTCTATGCACATGAAATGGTGAACTAAACTGACACTGATTGCAGATCTAAATCAACTGTTATCTATGTTTCTTCTCGATTGTCATGGTGTAATGGGTTGATTTTGTTTTTGTTAGATTTTCACATTTTCTATTAAATTAACGTCCCCCGGCTTAGACAAGGGAACAGTATGAACAGGCTAATTATTAACCACTGTCGTTGTTTGAAAAAGTCGAGTAAGTATACGAAAGATATATATATAACTAACCTAAGTAAATTTGATTGATTATTCTATATGTATCGTATGACTTCATCGTGAAAATTGTAAAATTCCACGTTTGTTGACATCTGAGTTATATATATTTAAAACGAATGGACGCTTGTTACTATCAAGTGATACAAATGCTATGTTTGTATTCGTTACCACAGTATTATTTTTCTTTCATCATAATTTATCACATGTTCAGAACTAAGTTTTTATTATTAATGTTTTTTATGGAATATGAGAGAATTCCTTATTAACTGCTTTTATTTGTTTACCCATGGTTGTAAGAAACATCATTTATTAAAATTCTACATTGCCTAAGTAGATTTTATTTCTAAATATTAACTTTATTGTTGTTACAGCGTTATTATGGGAAGCAAGACAGTATCAGAATTACCCATATATAACACTTTCGAGGTCAGTGTCATATTACACAACTCATCCAATTGGCCTACAACATGATATTACAAAGAAACCTTTTCACCCAATGGTGCACTGTTTCTCACCGTACCTCAGAAGACTCTCAACAACTCCATACTATTTCGATAACGAACCATTAAAGCCTTCATCAAAAGTTGAAGCCACTGTTGCAACAGTTAAAAAAGAAATTGAGCAAAATGAAAAACTGCCTAAAAAGGTAGAAGGAAAAAAGAAGAGTTTAAAAGAACGTATTATGGATGAACTGCGACATTACTACCATGGTTTCAAATTGTTTGTATTAGAAATCAGAATTTCAACATTTTTAGTTTTTAAACTATTGCGAGGTCAAACGTTATCACGTAGAGAGCACAGGCTGCTTGTCACGACTATTGGTGATATTTTCCGGATGGTACCATTTATAATTATCATACTGATTCCATTCTTGGAGTTTGCACTTCCATTTCTGATCAAAATTTTCCCAGGTATGTTACCATCAACCTTTGAGAGTCAAAATCAAAAAGATGTAAAGCTAAAAAAGCATTTAAAACTTAAGTTAGAAATGGCAAAATTTTTCCAAGAGACATTGGATCAAATGGCCCCACAAGCCAGCAGTACCAGGCACTCTGAACTTGCAAAAGAGTTCTCTAGCTTCTTCAAACGTATTAGGACCTCAGGGGATGTAGCTACAAGTGAAGAGATAATGAAATTCTCTAAATTGTTTGAAGATGAAATTACATTAGATTCATTACAGCGACCACATTTAGTTGCCTTATGTAAAGTGCTGAATGTATCTACAATTGGCACAAGTGCTATGCTGCGATTTAATCTAAGAATGAAATTGAGATCTTTGGCTGCAGATGATAAAATGATTGCTAAGGAAGGTGTGGACAGTTTAAATTTCAGTGAACTACAGCAGGCTTGTAAATCAAGAGGTATGAGGGCGTATGGTGTGTCAGAAGAGCGTTTGAGAAAAGAGCTGAAGAACTGGCTTGACTTGTCCCTTAATGAAAGAGTACCACCTTCATTGTTGTTGTTGTCTAGAGCCCTTATGGTGCCGGAACATGTTCCAACCACATACAAACTAAAAGCAACCATATCTGTCTTGCCAGAAGAATTAGCTACAACTACCAAGGCGGCAATTGGGGAGAAAGAAGGCAAAGTGGACTTTAAGGTAGTACTATTTTGTTATACAGCTTAGTCGACAAGCAAGCTCACTCTTTCATCTTGTTGACTAGGCGAAAATAATCAATGCAAGTTATCATGCTTGTGGAATGCCAAACCCTTACCATCTTTCATAAAATTTTGCCATTTCTAAATGTTCAATCAATCAGGTCTAGAAACGATTTTGACAAAAATGCCTATTATTATTAAATAATAGGCATTTTTGACAGGCATGTCTGTTACCCAAAGAGATTTTATAATTCAAGTTTACACATAATAATATTGAGTTGTTCAGTTTTCGTTCTTAGTAATTTAATTAGCAACATTAGAGAAGCTTTAAATTGTTAAATACTATGAAATACAAGAAACACTCAGATATTAATTACATACTCATTCATAGTAGAAGAAAAGGTTGACTTTTGTAGCTTGAAACCCCTGCCAGAAATGTAAATTATGATCTACACTAGTATATTAAACTATTCTATGCTACTTAGACTAATCTATATGTAGATCTAAATAAAATAATCATCTAAATACTGATTCTCCATACCTTGGAAATACCTACTTATAAAAATTCTAAATTCCAGGCTAAAGCTGAGGCTATTAAGCTTGAAGAAAAGCAAATCAAGGAAGAGAAACAAGAGATGCAGGAGGCTGAAAAAGCGAAACAGATTCTAGAGACAAAGAAGAGGGAGAAAGAAGAATTGAAAGATAAAGCCCCAGTCATTAACATTGAATCTGAACCCAGTAATTTGGACCCAGCACCTGTCATTATTGTGGATAGTCAAAAATCTAAATCCGATGAAGGTCTTTCTGGCAAAGATATTGAAGTAATTGAAGATGCTTTAGAGAATTTGGGTATGTTACTGGCATTGATCAATTTTTTTTTAAAAGGAAATTCAAGTTCATGGCATTGCCCCTAATCACTTCGCCTACGTATCTCTCATTACTGATTTTAGAAACACATAAGCGTATATAAATACGTATGTTAGAAGCATTTACATGTAATATCTTAGTTAGTCATCACCATAAAAAATACTTTTTCATGCCAAAATTCATGAAGGCTGATTCCTTCCGAAAAATATATAGCTTATGGCAAGGTGTATTAATGGGTACGGTAGTATCATAAATAAACAGAACAATATGCCATATTAGTTAAAGAATATAGCAATTTGGCTTGAGTACCAAAGTGTATTCTTAAAAACCTCACCTGCTAAGCTAAATACTTGTGTCAGGAGTCGCTCTTGTCGGTAATATACTGAGTGGGGTTCAAACCTACAATTTTCCGATGGCAAGCAATTCAATGCTTGATTTTGTTTGTATGTTATATATATCTTAAATATCGAAATTGTGCATAGTTGGCACCAATCACTGTTTTTCGTGGAATTTTTGCGATAGTTCCATTAACAGGAAACCCGACTTAAAGTTATGAGTCATGCTATGTTTGTCAATAGACTGGCGCGTAGGTAATAGGTACGGCTAATAGTATTATATCTGTAGAAGAAATGTCTCAATTATTTAATATGTATGTAATTAACTTGTTATCATTTGGGTAGACATACACATACCTTTTTTTTTTGTGCGGAAATCCCCTCTGATACCATCATGGTGGTTATGTCGGACTCGAACGGACTAAAAACCGCATACCGCCTCGGGTAGCAGTAGCCGGGGAACCAGTTGTACCCTAGAAAGGAAATCCCTGGTACCCCGACGGAACGCGGGCCACCTACGGCTTGTAGATAACTTCTAATGTTCCCTTTCTGACCCTTAAAGACATTAAAGGGCCACCACCGCCTGCTTGACAGACGAGGTGAAAAGTTTAAAAGGTGATAGACAACTTCACCTTTTAAATTATTATTTTTTTGAAGTAGAACTTCTTTACGCAAGCTTGGCTTGGGAAGTAAGGCGATGAATGCATGACAAGAGCGTTACGAAAAGTGTGATCGGGCGAGGCGAACGGAATTTGAGAGGAAGATATAGTGTTAGTGAAGATAGAAAGAGAAAGAGTTACGTTTCGTATAATACTGTAGGGGCAAGAGAGAGAGGTGCGAGCACACATTTCTTTCTCTCAAAGCCAAGAGGTTGTACTTTAGTCGTGTGGTCTAAAATACCCGCGTTTTTTTGCTGTGATTCACAATAAGTTTGTCCGCAACATCATAAGGTCATAATACCATAACTAATCTCATGTCAAGTTGAGCCTGGCATAGGTAATTTCATGTGAAAGTCATCTTGGCATCAAATAGCCAAAATATGTGTGTAATATTTGGTTTTTTTTTTGGTTTTGATTATTGTATTGTATTAGTTATATGCAATATACTGGGTCTACCAATAGGGATGACCTGGTTTTGCCAGCTCATAGCGGCCATGTTTGATGATGGATCTTTGACGTCTCTTGACATTTGTGTTCAGTAAGGTTTGCCATTTTATCATGTCACGTTTCACTTTAAACCAACGCTTGGAAGTTGTCCAAAATTATTACGCAAATTCGCGATCTCCTACCGCTACAGTAAGAGCGCTTCGCGCAAAAAACGGTCGTCATAGTGCTCCTTCTGTGCGCGCTATAAATCGCATAATAACAAAATTTGAAAGTGAATTCACTCTCCACGATACTGCTGTGCCTGTGAGATAAAGAAATGCCCGTAGTGAAGAAAATATCGCAGCCGTTCAGGCCAGTGTTGATGCGAATTCAAATCGATCAGTTCAACGCCGTTCACAAGAGTTGGGGCTCTCTCCAATGACCACCTGGCGTATTTTGCGGCTGGATTTGGGCCTACACCCATACAAAATTGTTTTGGCACAAGAATTGAAGCCAGCCGACCATTGTATCCGTCTTGAATTTGCCAATTATGCACTGGAAATTATGGAAGCCGATGACGATTTTTATCGTAAAATCATCTTCCCAGATGAGGCCCATTTCTGGCTCAATGGATTTGTTAATAAACAAAATTGTCGCCATTGGAGTGAGTCAAATCCACGTGTGGTTCATGAATCACCATTGCATCCGCAAAAAATAACAGTTTGGTGCGGTTTATGGCACGGTGGAATCATTGGTCCGTATTTCTTTGAAAATGACGAAGGAAACCCTGTTACTGTGAATGGCGAGCGCTATAACTCGATGTTAACCGAATATTTCTTTCCGGAATTTGATGATATTGATGCAGACGACCTTTATTCCCAACAAGACGGTGCACCACCTCACATTACTCGAGTGAACATGGAATTATTGCGTGGAAAGTTTGGTGAGTCGTTAATTTCAAGAAATGGACCGATCAGTTGGCCACCAAGATCGTGTGATTTAACACCTTTAGACTATTTTCTTTGGAGTTACGTTAAATCTAAATTGTACAGCAATAATCCAGCTACAATTCGTGACCTAAAAACCAACATTCGACGAGCCATAGCCGACATACCGGCCGAAATGGTGCACCGCGTCATCGAAAATTGGCGTGAGCGGGTGACCATCTGCAAAAAGAGCCGCGGCGGTCATTTGGCCGATATATTATTTAAAACATAAATTGCATAAAATTATCTATCAAATAAATCAATCGCATGCATTTTTCATAAAAAATTGTGTGTGTTTATTCAATTTTTAAACCAGGACGTTCTTATTGGTAGACCCCATATTTCAAGAACATTGTCATAACTATAGCTAATCTAATTACATTTTTAAATAGAAAATATAACATTTATAGATTCTAAACAGTCTATTGGGTTTGCTTAATTTTATTATTCCCACAATTTTCTACACAGTTAGTGTTAATTATGTCCTTATATATACATTAAAAAAAGCAAACTTAATGTGCATGCATCATTAAAATGCTATCGTTGTTACTGAAAGTGAAAATAATTAATTTTTAATAAAAAGAATTTAGTGTCGTTAACTAAAGAGATAAATTCTAATCACTTCATTACTATGTTAAAACAATAACATGGCTAATATTCTTTTAGAGCCAATAGGAGCTGAAGATGACCTTCTTTCTTTGCCTATGAGAGTATGATCTTGGTGAAAGTAGAATGAGCTGAAATATTCTCTTCACTAAAGTGGTAGTAGTAGGATGTGATGGTATCGTAGGCCAAAACCTTCTTTCTAAGGAGAGGCCTATGTCCAGCAGTGGACTGTTAAAGAGTGTTGATGTGTGTGATGATTCTCTTCAATTATGAAGAAATTATAATGAATTTTACGATTTCTATTTTACAGCCCAACAAAAGAAATCTTTATTACTTGAAAAGGAGAGTATCCAGGAGTTGAAAGCAGAACTTATGGATTACAGTGAAGATGTTAAAGAAATGCACGAAATTGTTAAGACTAAGCAGGCGGATCTTAAACTGACGAAGGGTGCTCGAAGGTAAGGTGTCTGTTTTCATTTAGGTATAGTTTAATATAATAATAATAAACATACCCATCTGAGACACATATATTAACTAGACTGCTGATAAATATACTTATGTAAATACATACATTCCATATCTATATATATATATATATATATATATATAAATGTTAAGTTGATTTGTATACCAATTGGGCTCATATTTTGACATGATGTACAAACCGTGAAGGTAGTTTTTATATATTTTTGCGGCAGTTGCATTGCAACCACAATTTGCCACAGCAAAGTGCGACAGGGTATAGCTAGTTATAGACCGCACCAGCCCTCCCCTTTTTTTGGGAAGGGAAGTATGGGCGGCGCTAGTCACTTACCATCAATTGATCTGTCTGATTGTTTGCTCCCTATGTCATAAAAATGTTTGTATATTGAATAATTTCTTCATATATTGGTTCTGGCCTAGATGACGTTAGAAATTGGTAGTAATTCACTTTTAGCACTGATTAAAAAACACATTTATTTTATAAATTAATAAACCCAAGTTTCTGTCTATCCGTGTGGTTACGGATTAAGAATATGTAGTGTCACCACCCCTATTCATTCCGCGGGTGTCGTAAGAGCTGACGAAGGGAGCAAACTACGCAGGACAACAGCACTGCAAAGAGAAGGAAAACTTAAAACAAACCCTATACCAACTCGTTTGGCCAGCATGGCGTCACAGCGTCGATAAATGGGCTATCCAACCCCAAAAGATTTTTTAATTCGTACTAGTAGTTCCTGAGATTAGCACGTTCAAAGAAACAAACTTCTCGTATATAATATTAGTATGAATATTCGTGTGTATTACTCGTATTGTGTAACTTTTTAATTCAAATGAAGGAAGTGTGCTGTGTAAATATTACACAGATTGCTATAGTTCAAAATATTGTTAGAACACATTATTGACTGCATGGTGATTTAAGCGGTCACCTCGCCGATCGCGCTGAGTGTTGTTAAGCTGAGTTCAATCCCTACATGGAACAACACTATGTGTGTGATCCACAATTTGTTGTTCTGAGTCTGGGGTGTTCTTTGTGTTATTTCATGAAAATTTGTAAACCCCCGTGACCCAGGATATTCATATTAAGTATCCAACTGCGATTTTCTTCATCCATACTTATAGGTCTGAAAGTGAGTTTGTGTGTTTATTATGCTTTCACGCCTAAACTACACTTTTATAACGCGATAACCGACATACATGGGGGGTGGAGCCGCGGGCAAAACCTAGTAAAGTATATCATAAACTATGACCTCATGTATACTGCAGACAAACACAAAGCGTAATGAATATCGTACTAAGAGTGTATGTAGATATGCAAAGTGTGTGCTTAATTAATAATAGTCTGTATTACTTTAGTATTTACATACGTACATACATATTCACGCCTATATCAACCAAAGGGTGTATTAAACATGAAAATGGCAGGCAAATTAGTTTATTAAAGGGGGAGGGTAGTTAAACAGTAAATGTAATAGTAATAAAGAAATTTTGATTAAAAGTTCGAACCCTCTTGTGGTGGTATTATTTTAATCATTACGTTTTTATCTCCAGATTGTACCGCGCCGTCAACAACATGATAAGTAAACTGGACGCTGTATTGGTCGAGCTCGAGAGCAAGGAGAAGGCTCTGAAGAGTACCCTCGAACAAACGAAATCCGAACCGCAGAAGGCGAAGGAACAGCTGATCCAGATCGACGAACTAATGCATTCCATAAAAAGCTTACAGAAAGTACCTGACGAAGCCAAGCTGAAGCTCATTCAAGATGTTCTTGGAAGACTTGATGATGATTTCGATGGACAGTTGAAAATTGACGATGTTTTGAAGGTATGTTTTCGTTTAATTACTCTTTTAAGGTGACTTTTAAATAATTTATTATTCGAGACAAACATTCATTGTTTCAACAGTAAGCCGCCTATTCTTACAGGGAACGTATGTTTTGCTACCTTATAGATAAATGTTACACTGTAACTAAAAATAGGTTTCTCACACTCAATGTTTACATTACATTACCATTAAACAATTACAGCGACATCTAAGCTTTACATATCAAAATTTTCTACATAGTTTTGGTATGCCACTTTAGCTTTTAAAACCTATTTATCTATTTTACCTAATTAAAATATGGTTTTATGCACTTAAACTAGTCAATATGAAATTTTTCATCTTCTTTTTTAAATACATACAAAACTATTAAATATGTCTGTAAACACTTAAAGTTTTTACTTTGGTCTATGGAGCACTCTTTTTTCCATTAAATCTTGAAGCTCTGACAAAAAATTCTTACCAACTCTTAACAGCAGTAAACAAATACTGATAATATTGATATCTAAAGCCAGTGTTCTGTAGACAATGATAAAGTAATATATTATGTTTCTTATAATGAAAAATAAGAAAAACACTGTTGCTGTTCATGCTTTCTATGCATATTATATGTTTCTTAATTTCAAGAAAATCAGGAAAGTATTAGTTGTGTATATAACATATGGATAATATCTCTATAAGACTTACATAAAACGCGAATAATCACCTATCTACTTCCGATAACAATTATTTTATATTCTTGTATATCACATCTTGAGTTTTAACAAGGTTTTACTTTTAAATAGTAAATTCCCAATACATGTTTGAGTTTTTCATTACAAAGACTCATTAATACATGAACTAAACGTATTTACATGTGGGTCTGTTTATAAATAAAGGAATCTAAAGATATACAGTAGAGAAGGTCAAACAGATGTAAATGTCCGTGACCTGTTTTCCTTTAGACGCATTTTGCATTAAACTGAATTTTATTACCCATAACTCTTTTAGTATAATAGATTGCATGCAAGTCGTGAAGAAAACATGGGGCACTTATTTTTGTTTCTTGTAGAACAAAAATCAGGTGTGTTCTTCAGTAATAAGGTCTTAAACCAGTACTGTACTTAGGTATAATGATTTAAAAAAAAATGAGTTTGTTATACCATCATGACGAATATTATAACAAACTCTATTCTTCATTCTTTAATTTTCCCTTGGGGTGTTATAACTTTCTTCAAATTTAGACGGCACTATGCACGGCACGGCACGTGTGGTGACGGATTAAGAATACGTAATGTTACCACCCCTATTCATCCCGTGGGTGTCGTAAAAGTCGACTAAGGGAGAAAACTACGGAGGACAACAGCACTGCAAAGAGAAGGAAAACTTGAAACAAACCCTATACCAACCCGTCTGGCCAGCCAGCGTGGTATAGTAGGCCAAAACCTCCTTTCAGGGGAGAGGCCTATGTCCAGCAGTGGACAATTATAGGATGTTGATGTGTGTGAGACGGCACTAGCAGAGTAGACTACGCGAAAATATATAAGAACCTATTTAAAATTTACAAAGTGCCAAATTTTATTTTAAAGTTTTCATATACCCAGTGCCACTCTCACAATTAAAACAAATCTAACGACACGTCTCAGGCCAAAATCCATCAAACCGTTTAGACAACAGAATGTACCAAGAAAATCCCGTCCAGCAGTCTTCTACAAGGGGTAAAAATGGATAAACAAACTGCCATTAAAATGGCAAAATTGTATAGATAATTTGGACTTGTACTTTGAATTAAACGTTTTATATTTTAATATTTTCATATAAATCTCCAACTTCGTAAGTAAAAATACCTAATACACTCGCAAAACATAAGCCTCCTTCTATAAAATACCTCCTTTAATTAGACATTTTGACATTTATAATTTTTTATCTTCATTGTTAAGATAGGTTAGTTTGATACGTAGGTATATATTCGTTTGTAAACAACAATGTTATTGACCAGTGTGTTAAGTCAGGACGTCTCATAAAGGTCATTGGCATTTACAAATGAGTCACAGTCTTGCTTAAGATTTGCTGCATTTGCATAAGTGGTGTAAAATATTACCAATTTCTACATTACTCTTTGTATATTAAATTATCTTTTTATATAACTAAGTAATTAGAATTCTTATGCAAAATTTAATAATAATAATAATTTGATATATCTCGCACAGGGCCATCTGATGTCAAAGTAGATAGAACCTATACTACGGTGTAGGGAAGCGATAAATAAACATAGTACTAACTAGCTTTTGCACGCGGGTCTGCCCGCGTATATGTCGTTTATCGCGGCACTCAGCTTTCTAACAGTCAATGAATTTTTCAAAATCGGATCAGTAGTACCAGCGAATACCCCGAATATACAAAGTCACAAACTTTACCTTTTTTTTAATATTAATATACTTAGAATAGTATTGGCTGTTAACTATAACTGGACGTTTGAGAGCCATGATTCTGCACCGATGGTGCCGGCTCGAACGACCTAATACCACGACCCCACAGTAAACTCGCGATAAGCAATTAATCTTGTTTTGTTTTTTACCGACCTTTACCGAGGATCTGTCAATTTGATGTTTATAACCAACAGTAATTTTCATCCGGTTTGCTCATAGAAGAAAGTAAAACCCCGAACTGTACACCTACCTTACCAGATTTCTACACCACCCAAAGGTTGGCTGGTAGAGAATGCCCAGGATATTAAGTTCGCCAACGTACACAAGTGCATAAAGTTGTAAATAAATTTAAAACAGTCATAAAACAACAATTTCCTAAATACATTATTCAACAATCATTTGAGCAATTTTAGAGCCGACTCTTCTATTAGCTGAACAAACTGAACCCCATAGGTTCCTATAAAATATAACGTTTTAACAATATTACAAAAATAACCTAATGTGAATGTACCTGTATAATAAATAATACTAGTAATGATGATTAAATGACAACTCTTTTCTTTTTCAGATGCTCGAAATAATAGGTAACGAAAATGTTAACTTATCAGAAAAGCAGATGGCCGAACTCATAGAATTATTGGACAAGGAAGAGCTGCTTGAAGTGGAACACAAAATTCAGAAAGCGTTGGACAAGGCGGCGCTCGCAGCCAAAGAACAGGACAAACCTAAAGATTCTGAGGGAAAGGTACATATATCCTCCTATTTTACCTCCTAAGGGGTAGACAGGGGCGTATTAGACGCCCACATTTTGCCCATTAAAATTTTAGTCCCAGTTACGTAATAGGGGACAACCCTATTGACGTCAACGGGACACATATACTTATAAATCAACATACTTATATATTTCTAAACACATACATATTATAGATAAATTACATTCAGATACAGAACAAATAATCAAGGAAAGGTAAATTTTTCATGTATTTTATTGTTTTTTACATGCATTAGCCAATAATCTTTTTATCTGCATCATATGTGGTTAAATAAAATAAAAGAAATGAAGATCCGACCATATTTAATTGTTCATGATATTGATTAACAAAAAGTAGGTCACACCTGTCAAGTTATGAATACAAAATCTGTAAGCCTAACAAAATGCCATATAATGCTATTATTAACACATTTATAATGAAATGTCTGAATTGTTTTGATTGCTCTTTTTGTCCTAAATTTCAATATGCAATTTAAAAGTCATCAAACTTTTATCATCCAATAAGTCAGCTGTTCCGATTATTTATCAACGAAAGTACATTGATAAGATAATTGTGTCACACAAGGTCTGTGTGCAAACATAAATAAGAGATAAAAGTGATCTACTACCAAAACACGGCGCAATATTATTTGTTTAGAATGGATACATATCATGATTTAATAAAAAAATTATAGTTCATTAATAAAATAGTGTGTTTAGAAACTATGCAGCCATGTAATGTTTGTATTCAAATAAATGATAACATGATATTTTTTTTACAGAAACGCTAAAACAAGTTTATAGGTGTTAGACAATTTGATACTGCAATTCATGTTACCCAGATACAATTCGATTTTTTCTGGCAAGTGAACACTAAAATGAAACAATTAACTATTTGGTCGTTTTCAGAGTTTATTTGCAATTATCCGGGAAGCTCAAAAGAGGCGAGAAATTAAGAAAGCCGTTGAAAAGTTCGGCGAGGAGACTCTACCCAAGAGCGAGGGAATCGTCACTAAAACCAACCCAGATGAGTCCGTCAAACGGCCCGAGAAAAACTGAGTAACGTAGATTTACTTAGCCAAGGTGTAAATAAATATGTAGGGGATGTATCCCAAAGTTTACGCCTTCCTGCTGGTTTAGGTGACGATAAATTAGCAAAGATGGCGTTTGGCGTTTGTATTTAAATAGTGTATATTATGTATTTGCGATAAATTCGCGAAATATCGGACGTCCCGTCAGGTTCAACCGCGGAGTACACACACTCCGCATGTAACAGCTGTTGTATTAGTATAATGACATGCGTCTTTATGGAGAAGAATAATTATATATTATAATAATCTTGTGTAATATGTTACCATAATGACAATAAGCATTTTGTAACATGTAATCAACAATCACACATGAACATGTAAATAACGTTTAACTCTATACGTTACAATTTTATTTATGTATTTGTAGTACATTAATTAAATTGTACCGAATATTATGTGTACTTTCCATGCGTACAAATCTTTTTTTTTTATTGTTATATTTTATTTATTTCTGTATAATTTTTTGTCGACGCATTTCTGTGATCACTATTCAAGTTTCGTGTTAGTATATTTTATTGTTTATATCGAAATGTTGGAGCACAAATTGATAAGTATGGTGACGAGGTTTACATTTGTTTTTAATTTCAATTACAAATTGGGATGGTTATCATTTTATTAAACTTCCAGCAACTATTCTTAGATACCTGATTAAGGTTACAACACGTACGTGTTTCTTGTAATAATATATATAAGATAAACGCCAAGTGCTGTTAACAGCAGTTAACGGTAAAAAGTTTTATTTTATTTCAAAGAGAAAATATCATACATTCATTTATTTTTACTAGAAAGCGTGTTTAATATACTTACACACCGAATCTATTTTGCAACTTAACAACTCTCGAGGTTATAAGATAATATAGTATCGATTGTCAGATAGTGTTAGCACCATAATCCTGTTCCTTCCTAAAATCGTTATATCTTTCTCTGCTTACATCAGTTTTATACCTTACCATCAGTATTGGTTATTTCATTTGAGTCAGTGTTATGGAATACAATATTTTTGCTATTTGATGTGCTGAGAAATAAAGTTTTAAAGAGCAAGAAAATAAAGAAATCGATGAAAATGATTGTTTTATTATGATTAAACCCCATTTAGTAGATGATTAGTTGCAATGATGAAACTGTTTTTTTATTAACTGGGCAAATGAGCAGACGGTGAGTGATGGAAAGTGACTACTGCCGCTAATAAACGCCTCCAAACGTAGGAGTCACAAGCGCGTTGATGGCCTTTGAGAGCGGAGTACGCTCTTCTTGAAGGTGATACCACCTTTGATTATACAAAACAATTTGTTATAGATATTTGTTTGTTTTGTGAGGCAAAAAGTTTCCTGAAATGCGCATAGTGGTGGAGTGCCAAGTGATGGGGATGGTAATTTTGCTAAGAAAAATTTAATAAAAATTGGTGCATATTGCCGAAAATAAATAAGTGAACTCATTCTAAATTAGTTCAAAAGATTGGATGTTTTCAAATATAATCTTACATGAAAATCGGTAATAAACACCTATGTCTTTAAAAAAAAGGGTTTAGTTATTCTGACTGAGAATGTAAATTCACAACCAGAATACCTCAACCTTTGTTTGTACTCAAGAAAACCAATAACTGTCACAAAGTTCTGAAAGCTTTTAGACTCCCTTAAACCAACTCAGTCCTAGTCAGTACAAAGTCCATTGTGCTTACGTTTATTATATCTTCTAATCTGTGCTATGTACATTACAAAACACCAAGCACCTTTTAGTGCCAACGTCGTATCCGTCCGTGCCAGTCTAAAAGCAGGTGATCTTTCTTTAAACTATCTCCTTGTTAAATTTCATGTCTCTACTAGGTAGTGCAAACAATAAAAACACTTATACCAATTTGGCCAGGGTTCTAATGCATTCTAAGTACCTATCGTATCTTACTCTAAAACTACCTCGCTGCTGTTTGTCATCTGCACACGTCAAATAGTTTGCCACATTTCTTGATTAGTAAGGGGATGAGTAGTATCCTTACACTTTTACGTATGAAAACAAAAAGTCTATGGACTACGCATGGTCGACCATTTTATAAACCTTTCGGGCCGTTTCGTTTACAATTTTAATTTCGCGCCCATAGGTGGCGCGAAAGTAAGCATCCGGTTTACAATCTTGAGAGCTCATTGGTTGGCGGACAACATAGTTATTCCAGATTAGCCAATAGCCATTTTTCAACGAATCACAAGATGCTAGATTTAAAATCATGGACCATCTGTCCGCCATCTTCGATGATTTTGAAAAGCGAAGCTCTGCCATTGGTCAATAGTGAGACGTCATGCCGAATCTTTTGACGGAGTTGCGCAAAATAAAATAATTTTGTGACTCTCACTCACTCATTGCGGCTGCCATGTTTTTTTCATGTGGGGTGTGTGTGTATTGATATAACATGATAGTTTAACCCCATATAAACTGTTACAGGTGAGTAGTTTTGATTTTGTTTTGTCATTTATCATTATCGACGCGGAAGTAGTTAAATGGCGCGTCTTCAGTGAAAGTGCATCATGTAACACTGTCGCCTTCTTGTGAAATTGCATCGTATCGTACGCAGGATGAGTAGTATGACTCAGAACATATCAACGATAAAAGATATACCGTGCCGCGCTTAATAGTACTCTTTGTTAATATGCAACAAAACTTTTTGTTTGGATGACGTTGCTGGTAAGAGGCTTCGTCCTTACTTACCCTCACTCGAGTGACGTTTTGGCGCCATCGACCCATTTAGCACGGCGGGGCGGGCATGGTATTCATGTCTCAGAAAATTCTTTGTACTTGCTAAGTCTCAACGACCTTTGTAATCAAAACAGTACATAAATAGTATAAATAAATACTTTGTTTTGCAGAAATAAGGGGTGCACATAGTGCGTCATTTGTTATTAGCTAGTGACAATGCGATTGCAAAAAAAATTTTAGAAGCAAAACGCTGAAGAAGACATAACCAACTAGCAAACATAGGCCAAAGAAATTAAGGATGTATTAGTAACAGAGAGGTTAAAGGATCGATTTAAATCACACGGCACACGGCGACTGAAAAATGGACTCACGATTATTATACAAAATGATGGTGTTTGATAACGGCAGACACTATCACGGACAAGATGCGTAAACATAAGAGAGAGAGCCAGGCGCTTGCCTGCTGGCCTGCCACGACGAGAGAACTTCACCAGAACCTACACTTCGTCATCTGATACCCACACATTTGGTACAGGTAAGCTTTACATGCTGTCACTATCGTAACATCATATCTTTAACTGCAATTAATGTAAATATTTTGCAAGAATCATAGTGATGTCTGAAATCAACTGATATTTTGATATTAATTCTGCAAAACACATTCAAATGCTTATTAAAATTCTCTGTGATACCCACAAACAAAATTAATAAAGACAAATAGTGGCCTCATTAGGTGCAACATCATTAACTATCTTAAAACGATCTGTTTGGTCAATAAGAGATAAGTAAGAAATTAAACATCTTTTAAGTAATGGAGTAATTAGGAAATACCAATTTCTGTACAAGTTTATTATACATATATCAGTACATCGGTTCAAACTAATTATTGTTTTTTCAACTGTCAAGAGGAAATGCAGTGCTCAGTAACACTGGAAAGTGACCATAACAGTGGGAAAGTTAAAATGAAGACAATTAACAATTATAAGAATCCTTACAAGAAGGTCGGTTTTATATCTATTGCAATGTTATAATTTATTTTTATAGGCAACACTAACATATAACTAGACTACATTGGTTATTTGTGTTAATAAGTTTTGTATGTTGCTAATATTATGAAAAAAAGTTGTGGTATACAACTGTACTGCACAGGAAGTTTCCTCGTTCAAATATTGTTGCCTATGAAAGCACCACACCCATGTATCTGATTTTCCCTTTGATTTGCACATTAGGAGCACCACTGCATTCTTCCTTTGTTCCATTGTTAAAAGGTACTTTATATAATTATTTGCATTATCATTGTATGCATAATTTTTATTTCATCAAAGGTTGGATGTTCCTTATAGTAATATTATGAAGTCAGTTTGAAATTTTGTAGAGTAGATTAGTTTTTTTTTTTCACCAGGTTTATGTATAAGTTGTTTTGCTATTCCATTTGTACTGATTGACTAGTTTTATAAATCATGTGCCATTGTTCTTTGTTTGTAGGAACTACCCTCCAGTTGATGCTTTGTGTACTTAACTTACAGTCAGGCCAGGAATACAGTGCACCTTTGGTTTTAATAAAATTCAGGAATTTATTAATAATATCTGTAATTATGTACATATGAAAAATGAATAATTAAAACAAGGGGTTCTTTAGTTTCCTGGTCAGACTTGTAAATGAAATCTATACAATTTTGTTTCTTTTCTTATAAATTCAATAGGTACATTTGTTGTCTATAATAATATATTTGTTATTTCCAGAAATCTAATCTTGACAACATTGTTGATCAACTGTGCACACAACTTCAGGACATCAAAGATCAAGAAAGTGAAGCAGGTATAGGCATGCCCACGTGTTCATTTGAAGAAACTGAGGCTGTTCGACGATATTATGATGCATTTCCGCCTTTGAATAAAGGTAGAGAGTCGCCTTTACCGTATTATCTCCCACCGCCGGCGTGGTGTCGTAAATCATCACCTGATACAAATATCAAAATGCAAAGCGAGCAATCATTGTCGAAAGATTGGAATTCCAAAAACAAGAAGTCGTCTTCGGGCAAAGAACGACGTAATTCGTACCACGGCCAGAGAAAGAACAATAAAAAACGAAGCAACAGTTACAGTAGGTCATTTGAAAGCAAAGAAAGTTTACCAGAGTGGGTAACGCATGAGGGTGTCTGGGATATAGAAACGCAAGACCCCGTGAAGGAGTTTATTCGAGCCATAGCATTAGACGAGGGATACGCGACTTGTGAAAACACCGTCACGGACGAGATCAAAACATTAAGACAGGGAAAATTAAGTATGAACGAAAACGTGGTACCGGAGTGGGACGACGGCCTCGACCTCGACGCTGAGTGGGTCATCACTGAGGATCTCAATCCACGGGTTCGCACGCCCACGGAGGAAGAGCTGTACGCAAAATTCCAAGCGAAGTTCGACAGCAGCATCGAAGCTCTATGGTCGAAAGAACAGAACACTCCCGACGATGAGTATCAAGATCTCCCCATCGACTTCCAGGACCTGCTGTCGTCCCCCTCCGACCGCCTCTTTGCCGTTCCGTCCGCCGAAAAGTGCAGCCTCATATCCCTCACCGAGAGCATCTGGTCCATCGACGCGGCCGACTTCCCACCAGCTCCCGGCCGCGGCCACTCGCCCGCGCTGCACGACCGTCTCCGCCCGCTCAATCTCACCGACGTCGTCGAGCCTCAGCCGCGGGAGCTCGAGTCTTTCGCGTTGTACGAGGACGAGGAGCTCTACGACGCCGTCGCCAGCGTCGCGAACACCATGCGCTCCTACGCGGCGATCAATCACAGCCGCGACTGCAGCGGCTTCGCCGAGGTACCGCCGAGACGGCACCGAGACCCGCGCCGGTCGCCTCCCGCCCCCGCCCCCGCTCCGACCCGCGAGCCGCCCCGCCGCACTCCGTCTCGGCCGCGCGAAGACTTGCTCACTTCGGCGCGCACGCACTTCCGGCCGATCCGGCGCGACTCCGACGCCGAGCCGCCGCGCTACGCTGACGGCGACACGTTCGACATCCGCGGCGACCCCGACCTAGTCGAGTTTCGCCGCAGCGAGTCCGGCGGCGCATACCTGGGCTCGTCTCTCGAGCGCTACCTGGAGTACCGCGGCGCACGCGGCATCGACTACGGCCGTCTCAACCTCACGGCGGAGCAGCGCTGCCCCGACCTCGACGAGCCGGGCCTGCGCCTGCGCTTCCCGCTGCGCCAGCTCGACGTCGGCACGCAGACCGAGAACAGCGCCGAGGACTCGGGCGCGGCGCGGGGCTGGGAGGCGTGCGAGGAGTGCCGCGCCGCCAAGCGCATGCGCGCTAGCGCCGCGCGCTCTATTTGGTCGGAGCGCGCTTGTCGCGCCTGCGCCGCGCCGCGCGCCGAGCCGCTGGCGCCGCCGCCGCCCGCCGACGAGCTGTCGCGCGACTGGGAGGAGCTGCTGTCCGACATCAGCGCGGCGCACGCGCAGTACGCGGGCGGCGGCGAGGCGGACGAGGCGCGCGCCGACCGCAAGCGGCGCCACAGCGCGGCGCTGCGCTGCGCGGCGCAGTGCACGCACCCGCACGCGCGCTTCCTGCCGTGCTGCACGCTGGCGCTCGACCGCCCGCTCACGCGCTAGCGGCCCCGCCCCCCCGCCCTCTCCGACTCTCCGTTTTCGAAATACGACGTTGGCCGCGACCGGCCTCGAAATATCGTTCTGTGGCTCGATCGCTCCTCGAGTGGCGTAGAAGGAGTTAGCAATAAATATTGGTAGGTTTAACTGGCGGAGCCTCGCGCGCGACGGGCCGCCGAGGCGCGCTGACATATCTCGTTATAGATGTGGAGGGGAGAGTTCTAATGTAACGTTAATTTTAGTTAAATGTTTCTTTGTAGAGATTTCATATCGATATAGGAATGTTTGATGGAATGCTCTCGCTTCGATAAAGATTGGAAGAATTTTATAATGATCGTTATGAGCGTGCGGTTAATGTACGTTGTCTACGTCGCGAAGGCGTCGAGCGAGTTTCTGTCTATCAATTATTATATATTTTTAAACCGTACTATTATTATTATTTTTGTTTGTTTAAATCGATCGATACCGAAACCGAGGAGAGAGCATTTCACGGCAAACAAGATAGGACGATTCTAATATAATTCTTACAATAATATCGTCCCGACTCGTTTAATAATTTGTTAATATAAAATATAGGTAGAACAGGTGTTTTATTTTTGTTAGCGTCTTTCATCGTCTCGGCGATCTAAATTCGTTCAAAATTTTATCAGACGATTAAATTGTTCCGTTTTCTGTTGCATCATTTTTAAAGCGAACATAGTTGTTGCGGAGATGATTCGGCGCATCTCCAGGCGTCCGTCGGTGGGTACGCCTTTCACCGACCGCTCGCGAAAGATGTACCCACAGCGGACCCGAGCCCGCCTCGACTTGCGGCTCGAGGCCGAACTTTAGATGTAACTTTGTATGAAACCGACGGACGTCGGCAGCGACGGCTCGTTCGGCTCGTCCTCAGTTTTACACGCGGCGATTTTATTGATTAGCCGCTATATAGAGTGTAGGGAGGCTACGGCCGGTAGTGGTATCTGAAGTGTTAGCAGTTTTGTACGAAGCTGGACTAAGTGGTGGGCGTTCCGTGCTCCCTAGTGTCGTCGATACGATGAACTGTGTAGTGCTCTTCGAAGATATTCGCAAGGCTGCAGCTGCTCACCGCTCTCCGCCCGACGCTACGCTCGAGGACGGTTTACTGTCTTCTTAGTCGATATCGACGTTTTTTTTGCGTTTCGCTTGCGTTATAGAGTGGTGGGCAGCTTCGGCATAAATTGTAACATAATTTACAGCCCCAGTTATGGATTGTAACAGTTCATATAGACGTAACTGTTATTATAGTTCATGTAAAACATAAGAAGTGTATATGTTATATTTTCGTATATTTTCATTTTACACGGGGTGTCATGTGACTCGGCCTCGTGTACGGTCCGGGCCGGACGATAACCGCTTACGGTCCGGTTCTGTACGCGGCCGGGGGGCCCTCTACAGTTTACATTTATTTCATTTGAAAGCCTTACCTAGTTACAGTTTCATATATTAAACTTTAATATTCGTGCAAAACTTTGCTATTTATGTGTCGTGTTTTATATATTTATTTTTATGTAGTGTGATTTACTTCTGTTTGTAATAACTGAAAACGAAAAAGTTAAAAAAAATGTCATTGCAATTTTTTCATCAGGAAGGCTATCATTGTATATATATTTAGTATATTGTGAAATTAATGTATAGTCATTTTTCAGTTCTTTAAAATGATGTATCATTATATATGTTCGATAGTTCTGTTACTATTCCTTTGTCTGAAATATATGAAATTTTAAGAACTGCTGCTGCGAGTAACGACTGCATTGGTGCATGAATGTGCAATATTTCAGATGGCGAAATAGTAACTTTCTATGTACGTACGTCATTAAGAGTGGTTGGGTATTTTTAAACTCGTGCAACTAATTAATTCATTCATTTTTCGTGTCACATGATATCATTTTTTTCTGTCATAAGTTCATATTATATTGTACTTATTCCATTAACGATATTCGCTAAAGAATACGTCGATAAAAAAAAAGAAAATGCAAAAAAAAAATGTACTAGACTTCAAGTCTGCATGTAATATTGTTTGATTAGTCATTAATCTCATAATGTGCCTATGCACTTGATTGTGTAATCGTCCGTAGACCATCTCTGGATGATTTTATTGTTAAGGTTTTTTGACAAGTGTTTGATGAGTATTTGGGCAATTGTTGAAAAACTTCAGAAGCTTGCGATTTCTGTTTCCAAGGGGACTAATTATAATCATGCACCAGATTGTTGCAAGCTTCCTGTATAATGAATGCGACGCCAATAAAACTTCTGAGCATTACTATGAATTATATTACTACATCTGTGGCTTCTTCGTCTCAATTGAATTATTGGCGTCTAATTTTTTATATGGATCTTGAAGGTTCACTTGCGTTAGCTATCCTGTACAATTATTGAAGATGATTATATTGTTGCTGCCAAGAAACGCTAACACATGTGACTAAAGATCCACGTCCCCCCTATTATTCCATCTGTGTACGCCACAAGATCCTATTTAGGCGTTACTAAAAACTTCTTTATATATAACTGTATTGGTATTTCAATTTTTTTACTGTCAGTGAATAACCAATGTTTGCAAAATAATGTTTAAAGAGAGAGCAACACGTTTTCTGTACATAGACTTTGGACACGTAAGCTAATCAGCGCACGTTTAACAAATAATTATAACAATAACGAAAAATTGCATGAAGTGAGGAAATTCAAAATCTAGATATGCTCTCTTATCGACAGACAAGTCAGCTTGTAACCGATCGCTAACTAGCAGCCTTGGTTACATGCATATTTGTTTACATTTCATATCAATTTATATAATTTTTTCTTTTTTGAATTTTCCTAAATCATTAGATATTTAAAAAGTATCTTATAAGCCGGGGTAGGAGCAGTACATAAGGGATTTCACGTTTTATCTTTTTGGCTCCAATCTTGAAAGCACAGAGTAACGAAACCAAATAATACACAAATTTTAAATTACGTCTAATAATACACTTACAAATTATAATCACGGGATTTAAAATGTTTGATATTTAGGTACAAATAAAACTTGTTGCAAAAACGGCACACCATTGTTTTGCAATTAAATATAGATATAACGTAGCATATGAATCTGCTTTGAATTAGTAATGTATACTTTTTTACAAATTTGAAGAAATTCGTTTATAAGTGTTTATCCCTGAAAATAGTTACCAATTTCATAATTATGTTAAGTTGTGCTCGCTACTCTGGTTCTTGCCACCTGTGGGAAGAAAAGAAAATAAACGATCGATCCACATTGTGTTTTTATTTCTTTCCTAACCCGAAACTCCATTAAGTCACGAGTGCATTGCCGGCCTTTGGGGTGAGTATATAGCTCAGCAGAGCTATTCTCTAGGCAGGCAACTTGCGCACAGCGCTGTAGCATCGAATTTCAAACGAACTTGTTTCCTCAGAAAATAGCACTGATGATTGACACTTGTAACTGACACTAGCTTGACCACCATCATGGATTTTAAGTACAAAATTTTATCGGAAATCGGTCGCCAAATATCAAATCATGTCTGCGTTACACTAGCAAAATAATGTCGAAAATAGTCATTTAAATGGTGTAGATAATTAGTTGCCCCGCTTCTGTAACTGACGCACATTTTTAAATTTGTTTCACTTACATATGTAAGTTATTTCACAAAATCAAAAATTGTTAGGTAAGGTTACAATAAATACTGAAATAGAATTTTGTAGCTTTAGAAAAGACTTTAACGAAAACACATTATTATTGTATCCCCATAGGATTAAATGGTTCGATTGTATGAAATGTGGAGGACAACGCCATCTAGTATCGACTAAAGTGCGTCTATTAAAATTGTGTTTTACGAGTAGTTCTGATCCGTACTAGCGCTAGATGGCGCTGCAAGTAACGCGTGACCTATTCTGGAATATTCTTGTTGTCTGGAACGAACTATCGAATACTAGGGATCTTTCTAGTAAAATTCAAAAGCGCTATAAAAGTGGAGCGTGTTGGCCGTTTGGGACAGTATCGTTTTACAACACAGCGAATAAACATAAGAGTAAATTACCAGTGTGATTAACGGGATAAATAGTGATTTTTAGTTTATTAAAGTGAGTGTTTGTAAATACAGTGCAATAAAGTTATTAACCGACAACTTTTATTTATTATATACCCCGCTCGAATCGGGGATCTTGTGTCAACTAGGGTGAATTTCCGTGCGTTTAGGCGATTCTGCCATACATATTATAGAAATCCAACATAGCTCACGTAGGACCCGTAATATTTGTGGCCGTGGTGCTTCCCTGTTTAAAAGGGTGTATGCCCATTTTACTTCATTTTGTCTCCCGCTTTGCTAAGGAGGGAAGTGGATTTACTGTATTTCCAACTCCTCCAATTTTCTTCTGATTAATTTCGTTGCGGGTTCCAAGACAGTTTAATTTCTTCCTGGGACTTCCCGAGTGTCATAACTCGGTGTGTTCGTGGGTCACTGCTGTGGATCCTGGTGTACAGGAGTTACAGTGGTGGGCGTGTGGGTGGGATTAGTCCCATACCCCGCTCGAATGGCAACGACGCTGGGATGAATCATCCAAGGGGCGCCATCTTTACCAATTCTTTCCATCTGTTCGCGAACGGTTGTCGAGGACATGGCTTGAGGTGGATCACTGTGTCGCTCAATTTCTTACGGGTCATGGTAACTTTAAGAGCAAGCTTTATTCATTTAAATTAGTCGAGTCACCATTGTGTCAATGCTCAACACCTAACTCTCACTATGAACAGTCTGCTCATCATATCCTCTGGGAATGTTGTCTTTGGTATAATGAACGCAATATAATGCTGAATAGCTTGCAGGTGACATCTGGGGCGGTATACTATGGGGATCTTGTGTCAACTAGGGTGAATTTCCGTGCGTTTAGGCGAATCTGCCATACATATTATAGAAATCAAATTTAGCTCACGTAGGACCCGTAATATTTTGTGGCCGTGGTGCTTCCCTGTTTAAAAGGGTGTATGCCCATTTTACTTCATTTTGTCTCCCGCTTTGCTAAGGAGGAAAGTGGATTTACTGTATTTCCAACTCCTTCAATTTTCTTCTGATTAATTTCGTTGCGGGTTCCAAGACAATTTAATTTCTTCCTGGGACTTCCCGAGAGTCATAACTCGGTGTGTTCGTGGGTCACTGCTGTGGTGGGTGGGATTAGTCCCAATACCCCGCTCGTAACATTATATTAAAAATAGTAATTGATCCTTCCTAATTTCTTCAAGCTAACTAAACTACTTATTTGGTAATTTTAGGTCATTGGTAAATATAATCAACTGATAAATATAATCCTTAAAATAATTTCTTAATAATTAATAATAATGCTGAAATAAAAGAGCTTGACAAAAAATAATAATAATATTAACTTCACACATCTCACACACGGCCGTCTAATCAAACTAGGCAGAACCTGTGCTATGGTAACCAGACTGCTGATAAGCATACTTATATATTTTTAAAAACATACATATTATAGATAAATAACACCCAGACACAGAACAAATGACTGTGCTCATCACACCCTTATTTGTCCTGTGTGAAATACATTTACCTAATAATTATATAAATAATCAGTAGAACATAAAAATATACATATAAATAATTAATGTATTGTTTTATAGGGTTAGCTTTGGTGTAGGTCAAATTTTCAAGAAATCTCACTTCAATTTGAAACGTAAATATATCCAAGTTTAAGCTAAGCAATACACACTTAACTTAAATTATATGGTAACTTAATACCATATTATAAAAGAAAAAACATGTAAATAATTATAAATTCTAGCAGGTGACTCAGGATATCCACTAAGGAAATATCGAATGACTCCAATCATCAATGCAGCTCCTGGTACACCGGAGAGCCATTACACCAACATTCATATCCAGACAAGAAAAACAATTGAAAGAACCATTAGGCTTCTCAAAGGCCGTTTTCGTTGCCTTTTCGAGCACAGAGTTCTACACTACAAACCGGAGTTTGCTGCATCTATCATTAAAGCTTGTGCTTACATAATATTTGTAATAGAGCAAATATTCCTGTGCCTGAATTGAGTAATGAAGATATGCTTAGAGAAGCTCAGATGCAGATAGCAGCAGTGGAT